ATATATATATAATATATATATATATATATATATATATATATATATATATATATATATATATATATAATAATAATATATATATATATATATATATATATATATATACATATACATGTACACATACATATACATTACATATACATGTACATGTACATGTACATATATATAGGTGCGGAATACCTACCATCGTGCCGTTTGTCAGTGGAGAAGTCTCCATCTTCTTCATCTACGGGCAATATATTTTCATCCAAGTCGCTGCCAAACCCTTCATTTTCGTCAGAGATTTCGATTTCGTTCTCGTTTTCATTCTCGTTCTCTTCCTCAAAGTCCTCCAGCAACTATAGACCCGGGTTCAGATATAACTATACAGTGAATAGAGTCTCAAATAATCACGTGTTTGCGCGTAGGCGGGACCATATAATGTATATATAGATATAACAATGCAGTGAATAGAGTCTCAAGTAATCACGTGTTTGCGCGTAGGTGGGACCATATAATGTATATATAGACACAACAATTCAGTGAATAGAGTCTCAAGTAATCACGTGTTTGCGCGTAGGTGGGGCCATATAATGTATATATATACGGTGATGGGCTGTGGATTGTGGATTGTGAGGAGATGGTGTGAAGTTATAGATCGACATACGACGTTGAAACGGTGTACGTGAAGACTAGACAATGTGTGTGCAAAGAGAATATGCGAGTGTAAGGAATGGGACCGTGGTGGTGGGGGTGGTATACAGGAGCATCTGCAACAAACATATGGTGTGATCATAATGGATGGGATTTACCACAACACACCCTAAACCCTAAACCCTGAAATTTAAACGCCTGATACGCGCACAAACTTATCAACCTCACAACCACGAGACATGTTGTGTATCAGTAAACTCTAAACCCTGAACCATATACCACTAAATTCGATACGCATCGCAAAGCCTAGGCCCCCTACCCGGAATGCGTATTAATGTAGTATGTGCACACAGAACACGGCTGACACTCATAGTGGGTCAACCGAAAACATACAGTACTGGTGTACTGGTCATGTATGAGTGGCTATACGCATGCATACAAGCAGATACATGTATATATACAGTACTGGTCGTTTATGAGTGGTCATACGCATGCATACAAGCAGATGCATGTGTAGATA